TCCACCTTTTCTCCGTAGTAACGCACGTGGGAAATGGCCAGTCTTCACATACTTAAGGAATGTCTATGGGTGAATCCGGGACTGTGTTGAGTCCCAAGGTCCTGGCTCTAACTCCCTTGCTTTCTTCCTACGTGCCCCAAAGACCCCAGAGTTGAATTCACTTGAGAGACAAGAAAGCTTGGCTCGTTTTCCTCTGCGCCCGAGGCACTTGGGTTCTAACCTGATGCTCTCGAGTGCAGCAGTGGGCTTCCTCTCGCCCCTCAAAGGTGCACCAGCTTCCTAGGCCTCGCCTGGGATCTGTGAGCGGCACAGGATCTAGGTCCCCCCCCCACCCCAGATCTACTTCAGGAGTGGGCGTTTGCAGGGCATCCCCCGGGGTGCACGGGCACGTAACAGCTTGAGAAACACTGCTTCAAGTGGGTGAGAGTCACCGTGTGCGCCTGTGGCCTCCAGCCCTCCCCACCCAGAGCGGGATCCCCGCAAATAACGTGACCCCTCTAGCCCCCCTGCTCCATGGGGGGGAGGAACCGGCAGGGCCCTGCCCCTGTCACCCGAGGCCAGATTGCTGTGGAGTTCACGTGCACCCTGATGCGGCGGACCGTTTTGTGTCTCACGTTCTCCGGTTCATTTTTTACTTCCGTGGAATATTCAAATGGTTATTAAACAGGGGAGAATGTAGCCAAATAGTTGGTGAGCGGAAGTGTCTCTCTGCCTCGGGCTTATGTTCCCTCTTCGTAGCCGTAAGTCAGGGATCAGGCAGGACTGTATAATTACCTTTGTTGATGAAATTCTAGGTGGCGGAGCTCTGATCTTCCTTTCCTAGAATAAGGTAAAGAAGTAGAAGCCCCTCCTGGCCGGTGCCTGGCCGCACCCGAGGGACCTGTCCAGGGGTCAGAGGGGCCTCATCTGCTCCCCGAGCAGAGATCGTGGTTGTCACACACCCATGACCTCGAGATGTGGCCCCGGGGTTCCAGGCATGGCATCTACCATTTGACCGATCTCAGCCAGCACCGTGTCAACGTTGAAAAGGAAAAGAACAGAAGTTAGGGATTATGGGAGCATTAAAAGAAGGAGCACCTAAGCCGCCTTCATTAGGTCTGAAGTAGCTGTAGTTTGTTGGCCAAAACAGATCCTGTAGCACCCAACCTGTTTCTTCCAGGAAGATGCCTTTCCTTTTCCTCTCCAAAGAGTCCGGATTAAAACGTGTAGGCTCGGAACCTGGTCGTTTGTAAATATCAGGGTGTTGAAAGCTACTAGGGAGATTGGGGGTGCCAGAGGAAAGGGAGAGGGAAGGGGTGGAAACAACAAGGAAATGCAGTGAGAACTGCTTCCAGTCACGACCTTTGTAACATAGTCTTTTCACACGGGTTTTGTTCTAGTGTGTGCTTCCGAAGGTTAGATGGCGTGGAACAGATGGGAGTGCCTGCGGGAGCCATCCTGAGCGTCTGCCTCTGTTTACCCATTGCCTCGCCTTTTTTTCCACGAAGAAAGCAAACTGTGAAAGCAAGACAGGGAGCTTTCTGAGGCGGGTGCCCGGGTATTTAAATAAACTGGTGTCTGCCAGTCTTGTGAGCCGAAAGTAATGATTTTTGTTTCGTGTTCTCAACGACACCAAAGCCCGCCTTAACAGACAGGGCCATGCGGTATGGTCAGGTCAGTAGCGGTGGAGGTTGGGGCTTCTGGTCTTAGCAGGATAGGGTTAGAAGGGGAGACAGTCGAGCAGGCCAGCATGGGCTCTAATGCCAGTTCACATTACGTGATAAGAACAACTCATCATGCAGAGAATATTGTCCTAAGAACGGTAAATACAGGAACCACAATGCAGTCCTGAGCCAATATTCCCATATGCCATTTTGAAATTGGAAGTAACTCGCTCCTTCTTGGCTGCTCAGAACCACATGACTTGGAGGGAGGAGGGAACCACATGACTTAGAGGGATAGGAGGTGCTTGGGTGAGATTCCCAAGATCTTGGGAATCTGGATAGGAGGTGCTTGGGTGAGATTCCTAAGCACCTCCTATCCCAGATGAGGAGACGAGGCCCCAGCAGAAGAGGCTCCAGGAGCCCTGTCTCCTGCAACCCACTGGACGATCCTCCCCCTCGGCTCACCTTGCCAGAGGTTGGCTTTGGTCCCTGAGCACAGAGCTGTTGGGTGCCAATCTCAGTCCTGTCCTTCACTGTGTCCCCAGATGTACTGCCCCTGTCCCCTCTGTGGACACGGTTGGAAACTCCAGAGGTAACTAATCAGAGGAGACGTTACACATGCTGGGAAGAAACGTCGCCTGTCCTGGGGGCAGCCGGCTGTCGCGCACTCCGTTTGTGATCCGGTGGATTGCCTCTGACCCCAGGCTCTCCTGCCTGTTGTGGCCCTGAGCCCCTCTGTGAAGGGAGCCCCAGTTCATCTTCCCAGGAAGGTGGACCCAGGTTGGTGGATGACCAAACGCAGAAGACTCCGCAGAGAAATAGTCACTCCCTTCTGACATTTCGCTCAAAATGTGTTCAAAGAAACAATCTCACCGAATCCATGAGAGGGGGGAGGAGGCGGTGACATTTTAAACTACATAGCGCACAATTAAAGGAAGTTATTGTGTAGGAATTGCCTTGGGGGTTCTCAACTCTCGCATAGGAAAATATTTTTATTAGAACAAATCCTTTTGCAGATTCCCAAAATCGTCTCTTAACAAAACACGGCGATGGGTGTATTTGGAGATTGAGCTTGTAAAAGATGATGAGAGAGGAATCTCAGGCTTCCCTCCCCTCCCCACCTCCATGCTTGTTATTAATGGACCCTTCATTTTCTTAACGTGAGAGCAGATGATGTTATACGTACGCCACTTTATTTTGTAAATTAGTTATTTGATGTTAGTGAATACATTACCCTTAATATTGCTTATTATAACCAAAGATGCTGAAAAGGGCTGTAACCAGTTACCCCTGGGATGCTGACGCATTCATAAATGTTCTCTGTCAGCAGTAACAGGCAAAGAGACTTGTTCTTAGAAAAACGCTACATGGGACACCTGGGTGGCTCAGTCGGTTAAGCGCTGGACTTTGGCTCAGGTCATGATCTCACAGTTCCTGGGTTGGAGCCCCTGATCTCACAGTTCGTGGGTTCGAGCCCCGCCTCAGGCTCTGTGCTGACGGCTCAGAGCCTGGACCCTGCTTCCGATTCCATGTCTCCCTTTCTCTCTGCCCCACCCCCACTTGTGCTCGCTCTCTCTCTCCCTCTCAAAAATACATAAACATAAAATTTTAGGGGGCGCCTGGGTGGCTCAGTGGATTGTGCCTCCAACTTCAGCTCAGGTCATGATCTCATGGTTCATGAGTTCAAGGCTCATATCAGGATCTGTGCGGACAGCTCAGAGCCTGGAGCCTGCTTCGGATTCTGTGTCTCCCTCTATCTCTGGCCCTCCCCTGCTCACACTCTGTTTCTCTCTGTCTTTCAAAAATGAGTAAATGTTAGGGGTGCGTGGGTGGCTCAGTCAGTTGGGCGTCTGACTTCAGCTCAGGTCATGATCTCAAGGTTCATGAGTTCGAGCCCTGCATCAGGCTCTGTGCTGACAGCTCAGAGCCTGGAGCCTGCTTCGGATTCTGTCTCCCTCTCTCTCTGCCCCTCCCCTGCTTGTACTGTCTCTGTCTCTCTCTCAAATATAAACATTAAAAAAAATTTTTTTTAGGGGCACCTGGGTGGCTCAGTTGGTTAAGGGCCCAACTTCGGCTCAGGTCATGATCTCACAGTTCGCGAATTCGAGCCCCGTGTCGGGCTGTGTGCTGAGAGCTCAAGGCCTGGAGCCTGCTTCAGGTTCTGTGTCTCCCTCTCTCTCTGCCCCTCCCCTGCTCGCACTCTGTCTCTCTCTCTCTGTCTCAAAAATAAATAAACATTTTTTTTATTTTTTTTTTTAAATGCTACATATATCGTTCACTAAGTAGAGAGACAGCCGATAGATTGATACTGGGAGTATTGATAAATGTTTCATTGTGGTGGTTTTGGTTGAGGGCCGGGGTGGTCAGATTGTTCAGAAAGCCACAAATAATAAATCCGTGAATACTCAATTCTTGCACCAGTTTTCTATAGCACAGACATGCTTAGGTATGATTGACGTCTTCACGTGTTCTTAGTTCTTAGTTCTCTAGGGGACTGGGGAAAACCCGTACCACAGAGAAACCCTTGATTTCTGCTCATGAAGTGTGAAACATTATGGAGCATTTATAATCAAATGAGTTAACTTGGTTAATCCGGAGGTCTTTCTAGTTTTCTTTTTTAATTAAAATAAATAAATAAATAAATAAATAAGCTTGCTTTATTTAACAGGAGGAGCTCCATACTGTAGACTTGGCTTTCGGGAGAAAGTGCTTTCAAATATATGGGTTGTCCAAAGTAAGATAACTGAAACCTGCTTTTAAAAAACTTGTTTCCATCTCTGCTGCCAATCCCGTGGCTTGCCCCGTTATCTTCAGCTTTTGAAGAGTGAAGGAAGCGCTCCTTTCAGACGTTACTGAGCGGTCGGTAGGAAGAAACCCCGAAGTGTTTTTGCGCTGGCCGCCCGCCTGAGGGAAGGAGACGGTGCTCCCGGACTCCCCGACTCCCCGACGCGGTCGCCGGCGCGGATGCGGGAGCCTCGCAACGCCGCGGGGTTCAGGGCCCCGGGGACCCGGCCCTGGCCAAGCCCGCATTTCCACACCCACCCAGGATTTGCTGGGTTTGGTGCGAGGGACGCCCGCCGGGCGTGAGCGGGGGGCGGATCGCGGCCACGGGGAGGCAGCCGCGAGAGCCCACACGCGTGGGAGAGCGCGGCCCCCGTGCGCGCGCGCCCCGAGCCCCCGCGTCCGACTGAGGGCGCCCGGGGCGCGCTTTCCGGGCCCCGGGGCCCCGCCGCCCAGGCGCGGCCGGCGGGGGTGGGGGGGGGGGGCGGAGGCGGGGGCGCCGCGGGCTTTCTCTGTTGCTACAGCCGTGATGTCACTCGCCCGTCCTAACCCGCGGTTGGTTGTTGTGTGTTTCAGCTCTGCCTGCAGTCGAACACAAAGACCCGGAGGAGACTCCCACGTCGTTCGGGGAGAAGAAAGGAGGCGGCCGGGCGCATCAGAGGAACTCGTGGCTCGTGGCCTTCCGGAGAGGGGGGCGAGCGGATCGGAGGCGGGGGGCGGTCGGCGAGCCGTGAGATGAGGCGCCGCCGCCGCTGCTGCTGCTGCTGCTGCTGACGACTCCCAGACCCCAGGCTCCGTGCGCCGCCCTGCGTGCTTCATGTACATGTGTCTGCCCCGCGCACCCGGAGGCGCCCAGACGAGAATCCAACACGGCTGCCGGGGAGAGGCCACCCACCATGCCCACGGAGACGCTCCAGACAGGTAGCATGGTGAAGCCGGTCAGCCCCGCGGGCACCTTCACCTCGGCCGTGCCCCTGCGCATCCTCAACAAAGGCCCCGACTACTTCCGCAGGCAGGCCGAGCCCAACCCCAAGAGACTCAGCGCCGTGGAGAGGCTGGAGGCCGACAAGGCCAAGTACGTCAAGAGCCAGGAGGTCATCAACGCCAAGCAGGAGCCGGTGAAGCCGGCCGTGCTGGCCAAGCCGCCCGTGTGCCCCGCCGCCAAGCGCGCCCTGGGCAGCCCGACGCTCCGCGTGTTCGGCGGCCACGCCAAGACCGAGAGCGGCGTGCAGAGGGAGACCCTGAAGCTCGAGATCCTGAAGAACATCATCAACAGCTCGGAGGGCTCCAGCTCGGGCTCGGGGCACAAGCACAGCGCCCGGAACTGGCCGCCCCACCGGCCGGACTCCGCCGACCTGCAGCGGCACTCGTTCGCCGAGTCCCTGAAGGTGTACCCCACGCAGGGCCGCGGCAGCCCGCAGGAGGGCGGCTCCCACGGGGGCCGGCGGCTGCTGGAGCCCGCGGCCGAGTCCTTCCTCCACGTCTCGCACAGCTCCTCGGACATCCGCAGGGTGACCAGCGCGAAGCCCTTGAAAGCGATCCCCTGCAGCAGCTCCGCGCCCCCCCTGCCTCCCAAGCCTAAGGTCGCGGCCGCGGCCACCGCGAAGTCCCCCGAGGCCGACGCGGTGGAACCGGCCTGCGGCGTCAGCCGGAGGCCCTCGCTCCAGCGGTCCAAGTCGGACTTGAGCGACCGGTATTTCCGGGTGGACGCGGACGTGGAGAGGTTCTTCAACTACTGCGGACTGGACCCCGAGGAGCTGGAGAACCTCGGCATGGAAAACTTTGCCCGGGCCAACTCCGACATCATATCCCTCAACTTCCGCAGCGCAAGCATGATCAGCTCAGACTGCGAACAGTCTCAGGACAGTAACAGTGACCTTAGGAATGACGACAGTGCCAATGACCGGGTGCCATACGGCATCTCTGCCATCGAAAGAAACGCGAGGATCATCAAGTGGTTGTATAGCATCAAACAAGCCAGAGAGTCACAGAAGGTCTCCCACGTGTGAGACAGAAAGGCCGTGCGAAGGAGGGAGGGGTGGGTCTCTGTCTGTGCATCCGCAGTCGTGAAGGGTGTGAGGTCTCCTTGAAGTGTTGTGAGCTTCTCCACTCTCTTTGTGTTGCTTGTTGTGCAATGTTTCCAAGTTGCATGCCTGTCAACATGGGGACCGACCCGGCTTCCACGTCCACCATCGCTGCAGAGCCCGGCTGAACGCACGTCACCTGCCAAGAGTTTGCGGCCAGAATCCAGAACCCAACTAGGGCTTCGATCTTTTGAGCAAAACTGTTTACACGAAAAACGGTAGACAACTTCTTCGATATTTATGTGGTTCTTGTGTTTTTCTATCCCGCGCTATTGTGTCTTAATTAAAAATCTTATCCACTGGCTTTTAAGTTGAGAGGAGAACCGTTTCGAAGTAAAAAGCCAATTTGCCTACACGCGAGACCCAAACAGTGGGGAAGGAAATGGGATCTGCTACCAAACGGATAACAGTGACTGACCTGAGTGAGAGAACCAGGCTGGGTTTTCTGAGGAAGAAAAGCGGTGAGCCTGATGTTAAGCGTTCGCGTATTGGAATTCTCCTGCCACTCGTTAAAGTAATGGGGCAACCGTGCTACGTTCTGTGTCCGACTCCGTGTGTAAAATGTTGGTGCTTCTGTGTAATACTGACCCCGAGGAAAGACAATCAGATACGAGGGCGATTAAATCTAGGAGCCCGGGGGTTGGGGGTTTTGTTGATGTTCTGATTTGGGTTGATTCCAAAATGCCTACTATTAATCTTTTGACGGGAATGGCCATCCTAAAGCTGATACTCAATGTCTTAAAAAACAAAACAAAACAAAATGGTTTTTGATCAAGAACTGATTCTATGCTGATTCTCTTCCCTCTCTCCTCCCCTTCCTGCGTTGTTGATTTATTTGGGAGAGGGGGGTGGGGCTTGTGCAGGTTTGAGTTCTCTGAAGACATAAACACAAATGGAAATACCAGCCATATCAGTATAGAGCCTCCCATGCAGAAGTGAATACCTTCCGTAGCTGAACCATATCCGAGCAGTGCGATTGTGTTGTCTTGCCTATGTTATTCTCTCAGGCTGTGGACCTTTGTTACAGCTCTAGGAAACTGTAGAGACATGATGCCATGTAGCTTCGCGCCCCCCCCCCCCCGCCTTTGGTCTCTAGTGCTGCCTATCAGCTTGTTCCCCGTTTTCCCCAGTAACCTGTCCCGCAGGTGGTTAGTTAGCTGTGGACCAGCTGATAGTCGCGGTGCGGTCGCAGAGAGGTAAACGTGTGGCAGTCTGCTTCATTGCTCTGTACTCATGCCCCGAAGTTCTCAGCAGCACTACCTTAGACTTCATCGGCTAATGGGAAACTTTTTATGGTGTAAATGCTGTAAGACTTTGTACATACTTCAGTTGTTATGAAATCTTTAAGAAACAACAAAAAAAAAGTTACGCTAATAAATAGCTCTGGTGCAGGCACTAATGGTGGTGGTTTCTCTTTGTCCTTTTCTTTGCTCCCTCCTTCAACGTTTAACTTTGGACTGTGGGCCAGAAGCGGATTTTTTATCGTGTTGAAGACACATTGTTTCATTAAGTTATTTTCACCACATCACAGTTCTTCCGAATGATAGCGATAGCAATGTGCTTTTGTTAAAATAGCTTCATCCTGCTTCCTAAAATATGCTGCCTCTTCTTTACTTAGTTCACACGTTTGTTATTTTTACCTTTTCTTACACATCAGGATTTTTCACATCTTCTCCAAGACTCCAGTTGTAAATATTTATGAGTTCATACAGCGGAGACATCCCCTTGAATGGTCTTTATTTGTACAAGCCCCGACATCATGAACATTACCTGTGTCCATACACCTGCCCACCCGTTCATTCGTTCCTCTTTCAACAGGTCATTGGACGAGCGGCTCCCTTTTCCAGGCCTCACGGTAGGCACATGACTTTCGTGGTCAACAACAGGGTCTCTGCCTCAAGGAGCACAGGTTCTCACATTTACTTTCCGAGAAACATCACTCTTCTTAGTGGACCTACCTTATCTCCTCTTATGAGGACATTGAGTATCCAACTGTTTACTGAATCAAGTTATTTGAAGGCTAACCCTTCAAAAGTTCCACATGATATGTTAGTGTGAAAGAAAGCATCATTTGAAAACTTTTCAGAAACAGAAATGATAAGATTCCCAACGACTACTGTTTGTAACACTTTCCTTCTGGAGATCAAATTTGGTTCCTTGACTCTCTGCTGGGTTTGAATTCTTTCTGGTTCTCTGATTCGTTTTCAGTTCAACTAGACTTCTACTTCCCAAAAGAAACATTCTGAAATGCAGCTTGGCGTGGGTGATGACACAGCACATTCAGGATAATAGAATGAAAATAGGTTTCTTTCATTTAGTTCAAAATAAGTTATATATATATATATATAAAACATTTATAGTTATATATCATATATAATATATATTATATATAAGTTTTATATATATTATATATATTATATATATTATATATATAATACACTCACACACACACACACACACACATATATATATATTCTTATATTCCCTAACCATTAGGGAAGAAATGTGGCCATTTGAAATATTCATGGCTTAGTATTTATATATCCATCTCTTTCTAGGGCTATTGAAATACCAAAAATTGTGTCATTTTTCTAAGGAAACCAGTTTTTTTTTTTTGGAAGAAGAGCACTTCTTAGCTAATTTAACATCACTGCCCATGCTGTTTTAGTCATGGATCCTGTTGAATCTTCCAGCATTTGAAAACCACATGTAATCTGCATCCCACCATAATTCAGTCTAATCCTGTGTGGCCTCGTTAGAATAGTGAACAAATGTGAGCCTTTTGGTTCCTTTCATAGAAGGTGGGGGCCCCTTATTTCCTTTTTGTTCTTGAAATTAGAGTTTCCATAAAGGACTGTTTCAGAGGCTTACTATTAAATCCTAAGCATGAGAGACTTCCTAAAAGGACTTCCTAAAAGTCCTTTCACAAAGTGCTGATTCTGTTAGAGCATGAAAAGTTATCTCATGTGTGTGTGCACGCATGTGTGTGTGTGTGTGTGTGTGTGTGTGTCTGATGATAATGATAATGTTAGTAGGAATATAGTTCAGCATACTTTTCCCCATGCACAATGCAGGGTGAAGCATGATTTCACAAGATGGCCCCAAATACTGGTTGTTTCTGAGAACCACCAAATTTTAAGACAGTCCTCCCAGATTCCACCCCCTCTGCCATTGTCTTTGTACCTGAACTACTGTTCCTCTAACCTCCTAACTGGAGATCCCTCTCCTGCCAGCCAATCTCCCTTCCCATCCCACTTCATGCCAAAGATACCATAATCAACTCTGATCATGTCTCTTCTCTATGTGAAAACATCCTCCAGGTTGAATGTATTGCTGATAGGATAAATCCTAACTTCTTCTAAGAGAATGTGGGGTGTTTACTTTTCAGACCCCCTTTTCTCTGTCTCCAGGCCCCCAGGCTCCAACAACTCAAGCCCCAGTCTCCAATCAGAGGAAGTTTCCATTGGGAGTTTTTGCCAGTGTGGTAGTGATCTGCTCTGCAAAATAAATTGTCCCAAAGCTGAGCAACTTATAACAATAAGTATTTATTATCTCACTCTCTGTGGGTCAGGAATCCTGGACCACTAAGCAAGCTTAGTCAGATGCTTCTGGCTCAGGGTATCTCATTAGGCTCCAGACAAAATGTCATTTGGGGCTGCATCAGCTGGAGGCTTGACTGGGGCTGGAGAATCCAAAAGTCCAAGATGAATCACGTGATGTTGCCAAGAGTCCTTACAACATGGCGTCTGGGTTCCTCTACAGGGAGTGACCGAACAGGGACAGCAAGGAGGAAGCCACGATACGTTTTATGATCCAATATCTGCTGATACCCAATATCTGAAGTCACACACACCTCCACCATATTCAGTTGACTAAAAGCGTGTCACTAAATACAACCCACACTCCTAGAGAGGAGGATTAGTCCTCATCTTTTAAATGAAGAAATATCATGGAATTTATACCCATCTTTTAAAATCACTACTGCTGAGTTTTAGTAGTTTTTAATTCTGTGAGGAATGCCTTTCCCTTCCTCATTGACTTTGCGGACTCCTGCTTTTTCGAGATTCAACACAACCATCAACCAGTGATATTTTTGAGTTTCGATGTTGCCTTCTCCCATTACATAGTAACTTTTTTGTCCTGCTCACTGATCCAGCCTTTGCCAGCCTAAATGGTGCCTTTGTATAAATTGTTATAAGGTATACCTTCCTCAAAACATTTGATTTTCTGCCAGGCTAAAAAAAAAAAAAAAAAAAAAAAGACTCCCCTATTAATTCATAAATCTCCAAAGAGTATAATGTGAACTGTGATCCCAGAGTTGGCCAGGGCACAGCACAGCTGCCTAGAATATATAGTAGATGCTTCATAAGTGTCGACTGGATTTTTTTTTTAACCTATCACTGTTCTGTCCTGTGCTAGTTACTCCAAAAGTGTTCTCAGGTGAACCCAAGGTGGTCGTTATTGTTCCATTTTGCAGGTGAAGCACCTCAGTTCCGTGGAGGTTAAGCCCCTTAACCGAGATCCCAGAGGAAGTAAGTGGCAGAAAGGGGCGTGAACTCAACACTGCAATTCCAGCTCAACACAGAAAAAGGCAGACTGAGTGTTGTACTTTAAAACCAAAGTGCTCTTAAATTCATCTTGATAATTTCATCTGCTGTCTGTATATACAAACATGTCTCAGACAGAATTTCTGCAGTTTTCACTCTTACCAAAATGGTAACCAATAAAATTTAGAAAAAGACTTCAGCCGTTGCATTATGAATAACAACACACAGCCTGCTAAGTTCAAAGAGACAACGCTGTTCAGAATGGCGTTCTTTCAGTTCTGGGTGTGCTGTGTTTTGAAGGTACGTCCTGTCTTTTCTGACCAAGGACTTTCAGAAGGGATAAACAGAGATGAATGTCTGCCCGTAATTCAACAATCAGGGAACACATTTAGGCGATTTGGTGAATCAGCATGATTCCCTTCTGCCGTCCTTGGGGAGGTACGTGGAGTGTTCTGGCCAGAAGATGTGCTGGGGGAGGAATAAGAAGGTTAAGGATGCTCCAGAAAAACTGAAGAGATCCTTCACTCAGAAAGGATGATTAATCTCACCACAGTTTTGAAAATGTGACACCTGCTTTGTCCACTTAGCCCTGGAAGGTGACCGAGAGTTCTATCGGCTTCTACACAGCTGTCCGAGAGTGACGCAATGAAAGACAGGCTCTGTGGTTGTGTGTCTGGCTCTGAACAAAGTCACCTGCATGGAGGGTTTCTCTCGTATGTGTAGTTCACACTCTCTTGCTTTGGCAGAAACCCAGCAGAAGGAAAAGCCAAAGAGAGATGGGCCTCGGCAGCCTTGTGAGACCCCCTCCTCCGATAACTGAGACCCGTCTGCCTAAAACTTTACCTCCATTCCCTCACCTGCAAAACAGAAGGAAAGTCATCTGGCGCGGGTGTTCCCTTGGCCTCAGGGCTTCGTGGCAGCACCGAGAGCTGTTTTCAGAACATTAGAATGAAGTGCGGGGTTATGAAAATTCAGAGAAGGCTGGGTTCATGTTGTCATGGCAAGTGAGATGGCAGGCAAGGCCTGATGAGGCCAAATACTTCACTTACTGGCATTGTCTGCACCAGCCTCTAGCGGGGGGAAGGAATGAAGCCTATAAAAAGATTCTTCTCTGAATGGAAGGAATCTCCAGAAACATGTCATGGTGTCAGAAGGTGACAGAACTGAACGTGGCCAAGTGCACACCAATGTACAAAGCCGTGATAATGATAATGACAGAGTCGTTCACTTTATTGGGCGCTTTATTCATTCCACATTCACGAGACAACCATTAGTATGCCTTTGATGCGATGCTCAGCCCTTTGTCACGTTCTCTCATTTCATTCTCACAAGAACGTTAGACGTAAATTAGAATCTGCTTTGCCGATGAGAGATCTGAGGCTTGAGCAACTTCTCCAAGGCACCCATCCAGTCAGTGGGAAGAGTGAAATGCAAATCCACGTCCATAAAGCACTCCGTCCGTAATGAGTTATTAGTATCTAGCAGGGTGGGGAGCCACTTTTGCTCCTTTGCAGGAGGTAAACTGTGTTGCGGGACGTTCCCCAGAACTTTCAAACCCAATTACGTAGGATGGCTTGTGATTCTTCCGTGCAGTGAGTGACTCCAGATTAGTTCTCGCTTTTGATCCCATCAGGCCTGAAGCTTCTTGGTTCTTCTGAGAGGGACGTCACTGATCAACTAGCCCTCTCTATCCTATTTTATAGAGGAGGAAACGGGTGCCGAGCAAGGAGGAAGCGGGACTCAGGCAGGGCTGTGGAGCAGGTGAACTGACCAGTGGAGCCTGAACAGGGAGAGGAGAGCTCCACCACCCTCACTAAGTACCTGGGCCAGGGAGCGGGGGACCACGCCCCGCTAACAATTCCGTCACGTGACGTGGTCGCCATCTACTCTATCATTCCTTTGCAGGGCCCCTGGCCTCAAACACTATTAGATATTTAAAGAAACTATAATTAGATTTCCTATTAATGTGCATGACCTCTTTCTCAATTTAACCATAGCAGATATAAAATACTTAATAGAGATTAAGAAATTTCTCTCAGGAAGCTTCTAGCAATTTTGGAAAGACTTATCACTGTTTTCGTGTTATTTTGGTAACTCCGCCGTCCGGGGCTGCCCAGTAGTCCTCAGGAGCTTAGGGACCATTTTGACCGGCCTGATTCTCGGCACCCTGGATCCTCTGGGGCAGACCGCTGCCACCGGCGTGATTCTCGGCATCCCGGATCCTCTGGGGCATTTGCTTCTTCCTCCTTCCTGCTCACAAGAGGACTGCCTGTTCACCTCCCCTAGCATTAGTTGTGGCCAATGAACCATGAATGGAAGTGACTATGTTAGAGGAGGGAGGAGCCAGTCCCAGATTGTTCATCTTCTCTTTCCTCAAACATGGCAGCCAGCGAAGTGCCAGAAGGCGGAGTGGCCCTTAGATTCCCGAATGAGGACAATGTAGAACAGAGCCCTCCACCCCCAACACAGAGTGGATATACAAACCCCAGGGGATGAACTCTGCCCTTGTAAATGACCCCCATCTGGGGGATCATTTTGCCCTAAGCCACAGCCTGGCCCGTCCAGACTGTTGCCTCAGTTGGAATGCAACCAATAAGACTTAAAAGATGGTCACATGATTCCAGCAAGAGGCAGGATCAAAGGGCCGGCTCCAACACTTTGTTTCTCAAAACGAGCCCCTGAAACATTGTATTTGAATCCCTTGAGGTTCTCAGTACAAAGCAAATTCCTGAGTGCCACCCCAGACATCCTGAGTCAGAATCCCAAGGAGTGGGCCCAGGTATCTGCCTTTTTAACCTGTACCCTCCAAAAGTTACTAAATGGAAACCAGGGAGAATGCTATCATTGTCTGGTATTGGAAAATACTTTTGAGGGGCACCTGGGTGGCTCAGTCGGTTGAGCGTCCGACTTCGGCTCAGGTCGTGATCTCACAGCTCGTGGGTTTGAGTCCCGCGCCAGGCTCTGTGCTGACGGCTCAGAGCCTGGAGCCTGCTTCGGATTCGGTGTCTCCCTCTCTCTCTGCCCCTCCCCCACTCATGCTCTGTCTCTGTCTCAAGAGGAAATAAACATTTAAGAAAGAAAGGAGATACTTTTGTTACATTTTGGAACCCTACTTCTGAGCCGTAGCCTCTGAACGCCTGCCCCACTCTGCTCCCCCCTCAATTCATTCCCGTTAAGCAACCAAAGGCAACCTTTGCAAAACCAACCGTGCGTAGTATCATTCCACTGCTGAAAACCATTCAGTGATTTCCCACCGATATTAATTTTGTACTGTGACAAAATTAAAAAAAATGCTGCACCTCAGGCCGTGAGACCCTGTGGTGTCTCTCACAGGCTTGGCTCCCCAACACCGAGGCTCCCCATTCCCTCCACTCTCACTCGTGTTTGTGAGCGCACCAGCTCCTCTCACCCCAACTCCCAGGGTCCAGGGTCGCTGCCTCCTTAACAGGCCATTGTCCTCTTGAAATTCCCTCCTCACGTGGCAGACCTGTCCTCTCAGGCTTCATTTCTGTTGCCATAAAGTTGATTCCTTGTGTTCATTAATCTCCGTCCCCTGCTAATTTCCTTCCTGGCACTTAGCGCAATCTGAAATCCTCTCATTCGGTAAGTTATGGTCGATCTTGGGTGTTCTTTCGCCCCCTTCACCCCGTTCAGCTCCAGGTACAGGAGTGCTGACTGTGGGGTATCCTCAGAATGAATGGAAGAATCCAGACCTAGCTCCTCACCTAATCCCACCTCATGGCTTCAGGGTCCCCTCATCAGCTTGTCCTTCTGCCCCTCCTTTCTCTGACAGTGACACTCTGTTAGAGTCCTGCTACAGACGAGAACTGGGGTTGGCATCTAAGAGTTTGTCACCCTAGGGGCGCCTGGGTGGCTTGGTCGGTTGAGTGTCCGACTTCGGCTCAGGTCATGACCTCACAGTCCGTGAGTTCGAGCCCCGTGTCGGGCTCTGTGCTAACAGCTCGGAGCCCGGAGCCTGTTTCAGATTCTGTGTCTCCCTCTCTCTGTGACCCTCCCCCGTTCATGCTCTGTCTCTCTTTGTCTCAAAAATAAATAAAAATGTTTAAAAAAATAAAAAATAAACGTTGAAAAAAAAATAAAAAATAAAAAATAAAAAAATAAAAAAAAATTAAACAAAAGAGTTTCTCGCCCTAGTATTTGTTTTTGGAAAATGAAAACACAAAAGCAAAAAAAAAAAAAAAAATTAAAAAAAAACCCAGCACATTTAAGGTTGTAGGAGTCCACAAGAGGGACTTCCCTGCACAAAAGGATTTTATAAGCAAGAATTTCTCACTCATTCAAAAGAAGTGGAGGGGCGCCTAGGTGGCTCAGTGGATGAAGCATCTGACTTTGGCTCAGGTCTCGATCTCGCAATTTGTGAGTTCGAGCCCCATGCAGGCTCTGTGCTGACAGTTCGGAGTCTGGTTCAGATTCTATGTCTCCCTTTCTCTCTCTCTCTGCCCCTTCCCAGGTCTCTCTCTCCTTCTGTCTCTTTCTCTCTCCCTCTCTCTCTCTCAAAAATAAATAAACATTAAAAAAAAAGGGGGGGGGGAATCAGGATGCCTGAATGGCCCAGTGGGTTGAGCCAACGGACTCTTGATTTCGGCTCAGGTCGTGATCTCAGGGTCATGGGTGAGATCGAGTCCGCTGGCCAGCTCCACAATGAGCATGGAGCCTGCTTAAAATTCTCTCTCTCTCCCTCTGCCCCTCTCTCCTGCTCACGCCTCCCCTCCTTCCCTCTCTCAGAAAATAAATAAATGAAAGCAAAAGTCTCCTATTCCCTCCAAACCGTAGCCCAAAGCAGCGGGGAGCTCTGCTTGGGATGGGCGGGGGATAGTGACCATCTAAGAATGCAGAATCTTTATCTTGACTTCCTTCCTCCATTTGTCTCAAAGGCCAAGGAGTAACACACCCCATTTCCTTACCTGAATACAAAAGCTTACCTTTTGAATGAAAATACATACTCAGGATAGCGCTCCTGGGTATACACCGTTGAAAGCCTCCCTGGCAGTCTGTGTCCACGGCAAAACTGGCTCAGAATCGCCTCCCATTTGAGCCTTTCAGTTTGTGCACGCTGACCTCTCAACCAGGGGCTCACCATCCTGTTCTCTGGGAAATTCTGCTCACTGGGGAATTAAAAAAAAAAAAAAAAAAAAAGGAAAAGGCCAACCATGCATGAATGCAATTTCTCTCTCAACTGGATGAAACTGTGGTGGCTGGTAATTGAGAACATACGGAAGATCGACTGGGAGAAGGGAAACCAGGAGGGAGGGCTCTCAGGGCTCTGCCTCCCAAGATGCCTGGGGTAGCCTGCTTGGCCTTTCTGAGTGTAGGTAAGTTTGGAAGCTTTCTAGGAGTTCTAGGCGTGCTTAATCTGTGCCTTTTTGTAAGAGACGGAGAACGGCAGCCAGGTGAGTGTCTTGTGTGCGCCCTGAGCTCTCGGCTGCCGAGCTCCAAACTCCAAATGTTTCCGGCACCTCATTTCCCCCACGGGGTTCTCGACCATGTTAAGGACCGGAACGATGAGGCATTTTATTCTGGAAGGAAACGTGGTTGACACATTTATTCGGTAACCTCATGGGCGTGTGGCTAGTTCACTAAAGGCTTTTCTTCTTTTCTCCCAGTGAACTGACAGGTGCACGTGGTCCGGGAACGTGGGGCGGATGTCTGCGGCGGCGAGAAAATTACTCCATTCGGTCTGAACAAAGGCTTGGTATGTTTTGTCCATGTTGCGGATTTCTCGGAGCAGCTCGGTGTGTGAGCCTGGGATTTAAGAACCACCCCCTTCCCTAAAGACTCCTTGCTCGGAGTTTATGGATTTTGTTTCCATCTGCTGAGAATTCTTTGGTGTAAGAAATCTGCGAGTTGAGATTTGGACAGCATTTCGGGTTCCCAAGGTTTGGTTTCCAGCCTTTAATTCACCACCTGATGCCTTTTAAATCCAGTTTAATGGCTGAAGTGGATTTTTGTGCTTTCTGCACTTAAAATGATTACGTGTTCATGTGCATGCACATGTCAGACTTCTTGAAGAATGTACTCCAGACAAATGTACTGGGGGTCACATTACACTACTGTTATTTTTTTTTTTTTAACGTTTATTTATTATTGAGAGACAGAGAGACACAGAGCGTGAGCAGGGGAGGGGCAGAGAGAGGGAAGACACAGAATCCAAGGCAGGCTCCAGGCTCCGAGCCATCAGCCCAGAGCCCGATGCGGGGCTCGAACTCAAGAACCGTGAGATCATGACCTGAGCCGAAGTCAGCCGCCCAACCAACTGAGCCACCCAGGCGCCCCACACTTCCGTTATTTTTTTTAGATTAAAATCCTGGCGATTTGGCGGAGGGGGTTCTTTGCAGGGTAATTTGATGTGACATGTAGCCCAGCAGATAGGAAGGCCGATTTCAAAGTGAAAAGAAAATGTAAAGCATCTTCTCTAACATATACGTACTCTGAGCCCGCTTTGCCTGGTGATTGAACGTCCTGAATGCATTCAGGTTTGGGGGAAAAGAAAAGATTAGAGAACAAACATCTTGCCTAGTGAGAAGAGGGAGCCACAGCTAAGGTGGTAACACAGTTCCGTTCCATTTTCCTCTGTTCTCACATGCGCCCGTGCGGAGGTAACCTCCCTGAAGACGGGGACCCTTGCCCCACTGCTGTGTCGCCAGTGCCTCCTTGACTGTGGTGCGCGTATTGCGTGAAGGTGCTTCATGTTCACTGAATGAATACAAGGTAAGAAAAAAAACCCAAGATCTCAGATTAGGAGTCCTAATCTCAGGGGAGAGGCCAGAAAGGCTGAGCAGAGAGCTTTCCCTTCTGCCAGTGGCCGCCCTGTCCCAGGCGCCGCTCTGAGCCTGGGGACACCACGGTGAGCCCCGCAGGCAGAATGCGCCCCCTCTCAGGGCTCTGATCTCCTTGTGAGACAGACTAAATAGACAGATGTACAGACGCTGAGACAATCACACAAGCTTGGGACAAAGGAATACAACAGGGCCGCAGTGATGGCAGTGGCCTTACTTGGGGTGTCATTTGAGGAAAAACTGAGGGAGGTGAGAGAGGGACCTCGGACATATCAGAGAAAAGCAATCCCGGCTACAGACACAGCAAATACACTGCGGGACCCACGGGGCTGAGGAGAAACAAAGGGGTTAGCTACTTAGTGGTGAGTCCCTAAGAAAGGAAGACGTTGTATCAGTCAGATGCCCTTGAGGGGACGCTGCAGGTTGGGACACGCCAGTAAACCTAAGCTTGTTCTCTGGAATCCCCGTGGGGACGCTTCCATCCTGAGAGACAGGTGTAGTGTAGACTATTGCACTGAGTCAGGAACCGCTTTGGGGGAGCTCGGTTCCCTGAAGATCACAGAAACCAGCTGGCGGCCAGGCGGGTGCGTGGCCTCATGGCCTGCCCTTGTCACCAGCTGTGTCCCCAGTACCTCCGAACCCAGCCCACAACAGTCAGACGTCCAGGAAAGAGAAGAAGAGGGCTACGGTGACCCGTGGCGTCAGATGACAGAAGGCACACTGGGAAAAGTTTATGTTCTCCCGACACAGAGCGTTTGTTTGCTTAGTCCTACTTTATTTTATTTTGCGTTTTATTTATTTTTGGTAGACAGAGACAGAGCACAAGTGGGGGAGGGGCAGAGAGAGAGGGAGACGCAGAATCCGAAGCAGGCTCCAGGCTCCGAGCTGTCAGCCCAGAGCCCGACATGGGGCTCGAACTCACCAACTGTGAGATCACGACCTGAGCTGAAGTCAGACACTCAACCGACTGCTTAGTCCTACTTTAATCACCACCAAGTGCCACTGTTCGCTAGTCTTACTTTTTTTAAGGCTTTATTTCTTCATTTTGAGAGAGACGGAGACAGTGCGAGTGGAGGAGGGGCAGAGGGAGACAGAGAGAGAGAGAGAGAGAGAGAGAGAGAGAGAGGGAGAATCCCAAGCAGGCTCCACCCTGTCAGCACAGAGCCCGATGCAGGGCTGGAGCCCACGAACCGTGAGATCATAACCCGAGCCAAAGTTGGACACTTAACCCACTTGGGCCACCCAGGTGCCCCACGCTAGTCTTATTTTTATTTTGTTTAATTAAAATCATTTCTGTAACAGAAAAGTAAATAATACCAAGTAATACATGATTTCAAATAAACACCTTTTTTCATATCTTTATAATAAAGTAAAAGACGTGTATATAAATATATATATATACACATGTATAACTATATGGAAGTACATTATGTATACGTATATAACAGACATACATATACAATTATACATATATAATATACATACATATATACATACATAAATAGACATACATATACTACAAATGTATAAATAAAAATATACATGCGCAAGTGTGTATATATATATATGTATATATATATCATACCTACATAAGCTGGTCACACAACTTGAGCTCAGGCCTCATTTTCAGGACAAAGACCACGGAAACCAACAGCCCAGTGCAGACCAGCAAACCCTCGCAGGGTGGAGGCTCCCGGAGACAGAAAAGTCAATAGCCTAGACTGCAGCCAACCGGAGGCAGAAGCATTTCTGCGACCTGGAAACTTCCGTGTCCGTGCCCCAGCCAGTGGTGGCATCTCACACTCTCCCATCCCCAGAAAAGTGCCAGACCCCCCCCCCACTCCCCACTCCGCTTTGGTTTCTGAGGGCTCCGCTCTCCATACCTTCTCTTCCCGCTGTGAACCTTCAGCAGCTCACGCAAGCTTGCTCGGCCTCAGTTTCCTCATCTGCAAAACGGAGACACTGTTTGGTGCTTCTTCCTCCTCAGGAGGAAGGGGTCATCCTTTTGTGAGGGTTAAATCCGTGTACTCGGCATCCAGTGGGGCCTGGGGTCTCCCCTCCTCCTCCCCCCCTGTTCTCTTTCATTTCATGAATTTCTGAATGCATTGTCACCAAGAAGGGGGCCTGAACTTTAGAAAACAATTAGCCATGGGAAAACTTTCTTTCATCCATTTACGTAACAATTCCCACTGCGGACCAGCTTGCCCAGGGTTTTGTGGGACACAAAGGGGAATCCAACAGGTTAGGAGGGGAGAGGACACAACTCGTGGGGCATCCTTACCCCATCCCCCCCCCCAATTTCTAACCCAAATCCTGTGAACCCCAAACCAAACTTCCCCCTTTCTAAGCCTTCCCGCCCCGTCGCACCACACAGCTGGTCTTCCCACCTCCCTCCCGCGTGTGTGTGTGACAATTATTTATTGCAGAGAACGTTTGGCAATAAATCACACGTGGCCCTGTGGCACGTTCTCCCACTGTTGTTTTAATTGTCGTTTCAAAATGTTGTTTAAATCTCACGTCAGTCTATTTAACTTTTCCCACCGAGAAAGCGATGGAAAACCCACCCCTCTAAATGTTCACACTGCGGCTTCATCTGGGAAAACCCACTTTGCATACACGCGGCCCAGAATGAACTCCCACTTGACTTGACTTTGGAAGAGTTTCTGGGTTTCGTTTCTCTATAAAATTAACTGTAGTGCTAATAATCATTTTGATTCAAATGGGATGTAGAGACTGTAGATAGACGTGTGCCGTTAATTAAAACCCCAGGTAGACAGTCCCTGCTCTGAGCTGAACACTGCTATTCCTTTCATTGTGAACGCCTGAGGTCCAATATCCCTTAGACCAATTGGGTTTTTCACGGTGCTGCACTGTCACAGGAATAGGAACTTTGGTGAACCTGGCATGGGAGGGAGGGAAGCCAAGGAGAGGGAGAGAAGCTCTCCCTAAGTGCCGTGTCCCAGTGTGAACTTGACTGACTGAAATAAAGCTTTCTGTGGAACTTATTACTTATTATGGCTTTTCCATGGGCTAGAAACGCTGCACCTAGGAGGTAGGTAGTTGTGTCTACTCGCGGTAAGTCAGGGTTTGGTTGTGCAGAATTGTATTATGGCACTGAACTTGAAATCGAAAGAGGCGGTCTGCTGGAAAACAGGCCGAGAATGGCGACCGAGTGAAAACGAGCATATTTTCAGAGCTTGTCTGAGCTGATGTAGAGGTACAGCTCCCACTGCCAGCCTGGAAAGGCCTAGAAGCTGCAAGACCGTCAAACGGGAGTAAATGATGTTCTAGATGCTACTGGAAAGTGACAACTTTGGAAGACTTAGAAGTGTTGAACTGAAAGGATTTTGTGTGAAAGCTTTCTACAGAGGTGTGTGTGTGTGTGTGTGTGTGTGTGTGTGTGTGTGTTCATACTTTTATTAAAGAAGTTGTCCTCTTTACTTTCGGGATTTGAATGTGAATAGAGGGCACAAGATTCTACAATATAGGTTTTGTTGGCTGAGCCTTTTTTTTTTTAAGTTTATTTATTTTGAGAGAGAGACAGAGAGAGCAAGCGGGGGAGGGACAGAGGTGGGGGAGAGAGAATCCCAAGCAGGCCCTACACTGTCAGCATGAAGTCCCATGTGGGGCTCGAACTCACGAACCGTGAGATCATGGCGTGAGCCGAAACCGAGAGTCGGTCGCTTCACCGACTGAGCCACCCAGGCGTCCCTTGTTTGCCGATTCTTATTCTATCTGAGCCGGTATTTTAAGTGCACTGATCTCATTTCCACTCTGAGACCTTGCAGATAAAATGGATGTCCCTGCAGGTAACACACAAGGCAGGAATGCACACCACACGGTGGCTTGTGACGCTGCGAACACACCCTCACTGGCACTGTTCCCTCCCTCCCAATCAGTCATAGACCAGCAAAAACAAGGAATCATCCTGTCTCTCCAACGAGCGCTCGGCGCTCAGCACAGCTCATTAAAACTCCACCAGCACTGACCTCTGTGTGAGGTGGCATTTCTTTCAAACGACTGCAGTTTGTCAATTTGCAAAAGGAGATTGCATCCCCGAGAATGCAGAGCTGACGATGGGACACGGGTGCTCTCTCCAGAACAAAGGGCAAAGTCTGTTCTAAGGATAAGACGGCTGAAGAAGTGAACGGCAACATCCGCTCAAGAAACACAGGGCAGAAATGAGGGAGGGAGGCAAGCCAAGGACACTCCAGAACAACAAGTCTAACCAGTCCAAGTGATGCTCCCAGCCTAGATTTTGTGGGTGGTGGTTTGATTTGTGAGCGCTCAGGGTCTGTTAACCTCACACAACTATCCTCTTTCAAGATGAGTGCCTAAATATTTTGTCAAGCGGCGAGGTCGCCCAGGAGGCCCGGTGGCTCCGGGGTGACAGCCCCAAGCGGATCCACAGAACAGTGCAGCCTGCCCGGAGAGACCATCAGGCTGCCTGGCCCCTGCCCCCCCCCCCGAGCTCTGGCCACATCACCAGCAAAAGGGAGGTACACCAAACGGGTCTGCACACTGCTGTCCTTCTCTCTGTTTCGGTGTCATTTACTACCAGAGAATTCTAAACAGGCTACTGCAAACAAGTTCCATCGATCTCAGATCGTCCTCAGTGTGCTACAGTCCTCGGAGGCTGTGCCTGTGGGCACTGTTGGTGTGACTGTGCAGTACCACCCCCCCGCACCCCCCCCGGCTCCCCCTCTCCCCCCCCCACCCCGCCACCACATACCCTTGTGCATCAGCTGTGACCCGGGCAGTGACCCGGGCAGGGCCGGTAATAGAGTGTCCCGATTCTCAGGCCATAGGGCCCAATCAGAGGTCCTCAGTGAGAAGGGGGAAGAGATTCTACCAGAATAAACGGTAGTGGTGACCCTGGAGCTGCTGGGGTCACCGCCAAGAGTGAGGCCCAGCAGAGACGGGGCTACTGTTCGGTCACGCCCATCTGACTTCCAGTTCTGTGAACCAAACCCCACCCCCTACATTTCTGTATTAGGTTTGATTTGGGCTTTCTGTCACTTTCAACACCAGAGTCCCCACTAATGCCCTGGGTATGGTGCCTTTGAGACGGTTGGTTAGTTTAAAGATGGTGAATAGTTGCCTTGAGTTGGGGCCAGTTTCTAGGACTCATGCTCTCCTCAGAGACCTCGACCACACAAAGTCATGAGAGTGTTGAGGCACAACCAGAAGGAGCCGATACCTGGACTGCTAAGAATAGTCTGGGCCAGGGGTGCCTGGGTGGCTCTGTCCGTTGAGCATCCAACTCTTGATTTCAGCTCAGGTCATGATCCCAGGTTCATGGGATCAAGCCCTGTATCAGACTCTGACCTGACTGTGAAGCCTGCTTGAGATTCTTTCTCTCTCTCTCTCTCTCTCTCTCTCTCTCTCTCTCCCCACCTTCTCATGCTTTCTTTCTCTCTTAAAAAAAAAAAAAATTTAAAAAAAAAAAAGAAAGAAAGAATGGGCGGGGCCAAAGAGCACCACTCGACTACCCAAGTCAAGGACTCCCTCCACCATGGGTTGAACTGCCCTCTGAAATGATATGGGCACTTTAAAACATAAACTTGCTTATTCCTATTATGCAAGCAATACATAGTAATTATAGAAAACCTGGAAAAACTGATCGGATGAAAACAAAAAAGAAATCAGAAAAAAAAAGATCGGATAAAAAGAAAAAAGGGATCATTTTGCCATAATTCTCACTGTACATATAGGTAAACATGTCATGAATTTTTGTCAGTCCCTCCATTGCATTTGAAACACACAGACAGGGTTATTACTATGATAATCCCAAGATCTAGCACTGTGCTTGCCTCATGAAAAGCGATGAAAATAATGGGCGAGCGAGCGAATACAGAAAATGGTGCGACACAATGGAGTACTTCCAAACCTTCCGGGCTCCCATGAAAAAGTCATATTTGCAAAGCACTCTGGGATAAATGAGGCTACTTGCAGTTGAAGACCTAGCCCTGCTTAGCTGCGCTATCTCAGGCACATCTCGTAATGCAGTTGGAGAAGTTCAGGAGTAGTTCTGTACAGAGGTTGGCTTTTGAGTGAGTCAGGCTTGCATTGGCTCGGAGACTCACCAGGTTTTGAGTTTTAATCAATGCCAGGTGCAATGATCTTACATGCTGGGTCTGTCCTCTCAAGACGCACAACCATGATTCTTCTTTCCTTAGCCCTTGTCCCGGGACAGGGAGTGCCCTCCTTGGAATGCAGACTTGAACCTGGGCCCACAAACCTCAAGCGGGATACATTAAGCTTTGGATGGATCATCCTGATATTTAGAAATTGGATCCATTTGGGAGAACAATGAAAGGAAAATAATATGCGCGATCGAATTTTATTTTTATTTTAGGATACGATACAATTATAGAGTAGACGATGCATTGATCATTCTGATGTAGTTTAAAAACTAAATGTTATCACAGAGCCCTTCCAGAAACCGAGCTCCAGGATATTTTAAGAAATGACGCCTCTGTGAGAATGTGGGTATCCTCTCCCACAATAACTGCTCTGCAGGATAAGCCTCGTTTAAATGTATGAGTTCCAGCCAGTTTATTGAAAAGCATATGTCCTTATCGTAATACCATACAACTGCAATCACTTTGGAAATACCCAGTCACCTTAGTTCGGGAACATGTAATGTACTATTCGAATGGGGTCAAGCGTCTCTCGCGATCACATCCATTTATTGTCTAAGAGAGCGTTACTAGTACACAGCCAATATGTGTGCTTTGTCTTGCGCCCGACCCCCACACGGCCTAGTGACCCTGCTCAACCTCACTCAGTCCCAGGTATGGAAGGGATTACAAGGACCAATTTTCAGGCTTGTATGAAAAGCCCAGCTCTAATAATTAGCAATGAGGGGCAAAGGTCCTCTTTAATTTTTATATCTGTCAGTCCTTAAAAATCATTGTCTGGGGGCACATGGGTGGCTCAGTCGGTTGAACATCCGACTTCAGCTCAGGTCATGATCTCACAGTTTGTGAGTTCGAGCCCCGTGTCGAACTCTGTACCGACAGTGTGGAGCCTGCTTCAATTCTGTGTCTCCCTCTCTCTGCCCCTCCCCGACTCACGCTCTCTCTCTCTCTCTCTCTCTCTCTCTCTCTCTCTCAAAAATAAATAAATAAACAACAACAACAAAATCATAGTATGAACCTAAGTGCAAGCTTGGATCTTAAAATTCTCTTTTGGAAACAAAGCAGCGTTCAAAAACTGTGTTTGTTCTCTTTCTATATGATGTAAAATTATATAGAAAAGATATCTTAATGAATATTACATTGAAGTAAAATGTTAGGTGCTGCTGTAGTGTGCATGTTAGTGGCATCCTATATTGTATTAATTGTTGGTATGTTCTGCCATATAATAACAATCCCCAAAATATGCCCTGTCTCTGAGAAAGAAATAAAATGATCATGAGAAGCAGCCATTAATACATGCATCTTGTTAGTTATGCGGGGGCACTGAGCAGGGGGCTCTTCAAACGTAGTCACACTTAGTTCTAGCAGCATCCTTGAGAGAAAAGTGCAGGATTCCCCTCTGCATGGCTGACGAAAGCCGAGACTCAGGCCACCCAGGTAAGCTTTTGACCGTACATCCTCAGTCTAGAACATTATCTCGGGGCCAGAGTTTCTGGAGGCTGTTTTCCGTGGGCTGTTGAGGTCTGACCCAATACTTTTAGGGAGATCTTTCTTTTTTTTCTCCCTTCAAGACACGAGGACATCTCTCTGACTGGGCCTATCTGGGATGAGAGGCTGGAGGGCAAGCGAGGCCTCCAGAAAAGCCGACCACTGGGGGTTCCCTCCTGGGGAGGGGAACTCAGTTCTGTGTGAGTGCCAACAGAGGTGCTGAAAGGTACGAAGGGGCATCCCTACAAGCTGTCTGTCCCGACCTCTGCCCATGAGAACCCTTGCCTGGAATGTGCTGTTCAGCCCCTAATGCCCTCACCATCAAAGGCCACCTCCTTCTTTGTTTCTCAGTAAATGCCACTTACGGAGATTAAACAGCATTCCCTGACACCCTGGTCCTATGATCCCATAGCACTTTTTGCAGATTTTGTCTACTTTTAGCTATTTGCTCTTGTGCTGATGGTCATATGTTTGGCATTAGACAGTGAGAACCACAGAGAGAGGGAGAGTGATGTCGTGACTGATGTCCCCCCAGTGCTTAACCACAGTAACCAGGACACGAATATTTACCGAGGGAGTAAAAAGAAACCAACAAACAAAAACAAACCAACAAGCAAACTACGTATACTCCTTTGTGTTATTCATTGTTCATATTATCAGAGCTCAATTTAGGCAACTAATAAATGTGGAAGACATCATTTGAGTTAAGATTTCACCAGGTTACCACCAACAGAGCAACAATTGACTCAGGCAACAAAACTTATACATACACGTCTGATGAGGAAAAGGGATACTTACATAGCCTCAAAGAGCCTCCCCCCAAATTACGAGTTAATTAGAAAGGAAAAATAGTAACCTTACCCCTTACCACGGATGGATTAAGATAGCGGATACCACCTTAACCAATGGATCCAAGTTAGTGTCACCAATCGGGACAAACCAACATGTGGAGTAGGATTGGAATATGGAAGGAACAGAAAGACTTTTCCTTGTTCTCATGACAACCCCAGTGACACACAAACCCTGTGATTCTAGGAAGGGCCCGTACCCATAATACAAACAAGGAAGCACCTGCGGTGGAACTCGATGAGTTGGCCAACAGTCAGTCCTAGAAAGTGTGAGAGCCCGACCTCTAAGCAGGACTTCTGGCTCTGACTTGCATCTTCCCTCCATGTCCTGCTGCCTCTCCCGGCCCCTCAAACCCACAAAAAAGATGACTAAGTGACTCCAGGGCATGGAGAGGGTGTCTGCAGGCCAGTTCCAGCCCCACCCTGGCCACCCCCCATGGGAACGCAGATGAGGGGTCCTCTGCACCCCTGCTTCCTTTTCTGTAAAAGATGGTTCTTGAAAAAAAAAATGGGGCACCTGGGTGGTCCAGTCAGTTAAGCATCTAACTTCAGCTCAGGTCATGATCTCATAGTTCACGAGTTCCAGCCCCACATTGGGCTCTCTGCTGTCAGCACAGAGCCTGCTTTGGATCCTCTGTCCCCCTCTCTCTCTCTGTCTCTGTCTCTCTCTCTCTCTCAAAGAAATAAACATATTTAAACAACAAAAGATGGTTCCTGTATCATCTATGATTCCAGGAAGTAGACAGTTCTGTCTAGACGTTTGATGCATAGACCTGGCAGCCATTCATTTGTCATGTGACTTGGAAACTTGCTGTGAGTCTTTTAAGAGAAGCAATTTCCTTCAGAGTCAGATGTTTTGACACAATGACTACACTATCTTAGATTTGAGAAGGAACCAAAAGGAAAAATCATACGCCATCAGGAAAACCCTTCTAGGTGCCATAGAAAAGGAAGCAAAACTTAGAGGACTCCCAACCACAGGTCAAAACCATTCATTCCTTCATTCATCCAATCAGTCAATCATGTGGTTGATCCATTACTTCCAAAACCACATCTCTTACAAATCTCCATTCTGTAAAACCCCTCTAGAGGTTAGAAACCTAAGTCTTGATTGGCTCATCTGAACAACAGAAAGACACTGCCGCTCCCACCGTGAAGAGGAAGCAGTCTTTGCTTAAATGTTCTCATTCCAGGGATATTTAGTGAGCATTATTTTGTGCAAGGCATTAGGCTCTGGGATACCAAGGCAGGTTTAATGTAGACTAAGGGGGATAACGACGAGGAGAGTCTACACGTAGAGATGGAAGGAAGGAGCTGTACAAGCAAACACAAGGGGTGAGAAGTCAGTCCTGTACAAAGAACCACTGGTCTCATTCAGTTCAGTTGCCTTCAGGGCATGTGCGTTTCAGGAGAGGGCAACGATACTGGAAGGGTAGTTTCAGGGCTAAGGAATTTGAACTCTTGTAGCCATTTACAGAAACCCCCAAACTGGGTGCTTTGGAGCTGACCCAACGCTACACTCCCGTACCTGCCTCTGCAGCGCGGCTTCTGCTGTTTTCCTTGGGAAAACCGGGCTATGGAGAACAAGGAGGGATGAAGCATCCGAGCGAGAACCACTGACAAGATAAATGATGGTTTTGCCCCTCGGCTCTAAGTACCTGGAAGGATAGCAGAAAGGGTGTGCCTGCTTATCCACATACCTTCTTTGGCAAGGATTTCCCATCAGACTGTATAATGAGGAAACTCACAAACTGTACAGCAACATTCTTCGAAGGTGGGGTCTGGGAACTGGTGCGGGCCTCCACAAGGATTGCTGCTACTTCAAAGAGAGATCGGTACAGAAATAGTGAATCATCGTTGACAAACGTCTCCGGCAATTTGACACGGCCATGACGCTCCAGCGTATGCTCGAGGGATCCATTTCCCCCAACAGAGCAGAGGTGAGAAACACTGGTCTGTGACAGATCGGAAGTGAAAACAACAAACCAAAACCCCAAACCTTCTTCACTGCAGCTAGTTTTAACAGCAGTGCTATGGCGAGCACAGTGGGGAGGGGGGTGGGTTTCAGTGGTTTATCAACGTGCAGTTGGGGTTGTTGGCCGCTGGGGAAGGAGGCCTAGAGACTGTCCCTGAGGGGCGCACCGTTCGGTTGGCAAAGCGGATGGTCCAACAGACTCTTGTAGCCCAATCGGATAGATGCCAGACTAAAGCTTTCTTTAGGTTTCCTCCCCCGCACCTCCAAGGCAAGGATGCTTTTCTTGCTTATTCGGGATGCCTGGGATTGATGATGATAGTGCCCATTTATTGAGCATTTACACTGTGCCAGCCTCTAGATTTAAAACTTTACATGCATTCTCTACTTAATCCCCACAAGAAGCCTCTGGGATGGGTACCTTATTGTCACTTTCGATGTATAGATGTGGAAATTGGGGCTCAGAGAGAATACAAAATCTTGTGCAAGGCCATAGATTTCATAAGTGGAAAAAGCAAAATTCACAGACTGCCTGACCTCAGGGTTCAAATTCTTAACCCGTACCTGTGTTGCTTTTAACTGATCACATTGTAGTTGCCTGTTTAGTGAGAAACCTTACCCTTCTGGAAGGCATTGCCTCTTTAGCCACTTTTAAATGGTTGGTACATAGTAGGTTCTTGGGATAGAGGTGATGACTGTTCAGCAGACGTTCATTCCTTCCCTCCCCAACCAGACTCCAAGAAAGATGTGTAGATCCCACACCACTGATGGTGAATGTGACCAAGTGACTTGCTTGGCTAATAGAATGGGTCAGCATGCCAGCTTTTAACACAAGAGCATCACCTTCCCACTCGCCCTCTGGTGCTTCTGCGATTACCCTTAGAAGATCCTTAGGTATCTACTGGTCTGAGGAAGATATGGAATAGCACAGGCTCAGGACTATTTCATGGTTGAGAACCAAATGGCAAAGCCAGCCTCCATCAGGCAACACCTGCCCAACCAGAAGATGAACGAATAAGAAATAAAATGTTTAATGTTGCGTATCACTGAGGGTTTGCCATCATGGTTCAGCAATACCTGACTCACAAAAGGTTCAAGAGATATTTGTGGAAGAATGTATCTGGTGCCATGGGGGGCACAGAAAAGGTACTGACACGGTGGACGGGGCGGGGGGGGGGGGGGGCCGGAAAGAAGTCCTTCTAGAAGAGCACCTCCTCGAGTCGTTATTTATGCAGGCTTATCCATGAGTGGATTCCCCAGGGCCTCCGCCAGCGTCTGGCATCGAGCATGGAATTAACATAAATAGATGCGTGAATACCAAAACTAAGTTAGATTAACATAAAGTGATGCATATGAGCTGAACAAGACTTTTTATCCAAAGGATTAAAATCACTAATACCAAAATTCCCAGCGCAGAGGCAGAGTGTCCCTCAAATGTGATAACAACTCAGTGTCTCGACTCTGAAACAGCCACGCCAGGTCTCCATCCCTTGATGTCACCGAAGGCCAATGCCCAAAATGCAGCCCTTTCTTTCTCCCTCAAGATGTCGATGTTCACGCAGTCCGTGCATCTGCCCCTTGTTGCCTGGGCGCAGAGCAGAAGTGACGAAATGCCTGAGGTAGACAATTTGCCCAGGACTGCCAGTATGAAAGAAAGCCCGGCGAACTTGCCAGAAAGCAGCCCTCAGGAGACTCTGGCCAGATTCGTGCAGATGCAGGAGGTTGACACAAACGTCCAAACTTTTGCACGCTTATCAAGACTACACCTCTGAACCTGTCACACACAAAAAGATCGGAAGCAAGAGAATAAGACTGAGGAGCTCATGAATAAAAATCACATTTAAGTGTAAATGCCCCCTTGCTCCTAGTGGCTTCCCGCAGAAGGAGGATAGACAATATTTTGAGCAGATCAGCCACAACCATCAGCGTATGTAGGTCACATCTAAAACACAGTAAATAGCGTGTGATGTAGCCTTAACAGACACGATCCTAACAGCAAAATCCGGTAGATTTGTGTGTTGTAACACATCTTGAAGTAGAAATGTCTCTCCCTGAAGAATGTATTTCTCCATGAATTTGATCTCCGTGAATATTTGATGTGTGTATATTCCTGGGCTTTCAATTTGTCTGCTGCTTAAGCAGATGGCTACTAGTATAAAAACTTGGAACATATTAAAACATCTGAATCCCAGGCCATTTGGTTTATTTTTAAATACCAGATTGAGTTTTTTGAATGTTTTAAATTCAAGTGCATAATTCTTATCACCTTGATTAGATCTTTAAATTCTGCACTCAGAGTAACAAATCATGGAAAAGTTAAAAAGAAAATAAGGCATGATAGAGCCTCTTTAACACATAATTTGTTCCTCGGGATGGAGGAAGTAAAATATTTCATGCCAACCCTTTCTCCCCTGATTATTTATATAACATAATATAAAGGCATCTTATTTTCTTCTCTGTCACTCATGTAACGTTTTCACTATGTCACTCATCAGTCAAAATGTTCCCCTTGTATTGTGTTTTAAACCAAGTTTGCCTACGGGTTCCAAACATCCTTGGGCATGTCCGAGTCTCGTGGGCTTTACCTCCTTTCATCAGGGATATACTATTCCCTTGTCTCATCTACCTCCTAATCAATCCTTCTTATGGCTTCCCAAATTGTTTGACAAAGATACGGCAATTGATTAATGTGTTATGATAGTGGCTGTCTCCTTGGGTAGGGCAGGAGGAAGAAGGCTGGGGTCTCACCGCACCGGGGAGCAGGAAAGCTGAGTTCTGCTGCCCTCCTGTCCCTCCCAGCTACCATCCGGGGCAACTTCTCCCATTGGCCAAGGACTCAGTCTCTGCAGTGCTGATCCCCGGGTCTTGTGCAGCTTAGATGCTCCCTTCTGTGTGGTCTTACCTATTAGCACTTAACCCTGGGCGGGGGAGTCCTTGAAGTTAAAAGCCCGACCAAACCAACAATCCCCTTCCTGGGATTGATCCGTACCCTCCTCCAGCTACCCTGTCTCATTTCTGTCTGTCTCTTCAAGGCCACACTTCTGGGAAGATTGGCTGCATTCTCTGCTTCTGCCTTCTCATGTCAGGTTCTCTTCTTAGCTCACTACAATCAAACTCTGATGCTTTCAGGTCACTGAAACTCCCCTCACTGGGGCCTTCCCTGACCCCCCGTGTCACCAGATGACGCAGGCCTTCCCAGCCCACCCCGGCTCTTGGTAAGTTTGCAGCAGCAACAGGCCCATTCGCTCATCTCCCCCTTGAATCGCCTCCCCGCTCCCATTTCATGGACCAACCGCTCTTGCTTTCCCTTTGGCTTTGCCTGCCACTCTTCCTACTTTTCTTTGCTCTCTTTTGCCAAAACAAGAAAATGGCGGCGCGCCTCAGCGCTTGCTTTGGAGGCCACTGTTCTCCTCTGCTTCATTTTTTTTCCTGCTTTCTCATTCAGTCTCATCAATATGCTGATGACACATATTTGTATCTTCAGCTCCCCATCACACCTGAGTTGCACACTTAGAAGGCCCGCTCTCTGCTTCGTATCTCTACCTGGATAACTTTCAACCCAAAATGAAATACATGGCAACAAAAGACCACCTAATCGCTGATCGAACTTCTTGACCTCTCTCCTCACCCCTCAGCCTTCTCCGTCTCGGTGATCGGCATCACTGCCCCCTGGCAATTCAAGCCATTTCACTACCCCCACTTCAAATCACTAAGTCAGTCCTATTGGCTTTATTATCACCATGCATCCCCAGTTTCTTTCCTTCACCCCACAAATACCACCCTTGTCTAAGACATCACCGTCTGTCACCAAGAATATGGCACCTGACCAGTAGTTCTCAAACTGTGGTCCCTGGACCAACAACATCAGCATCATCTGGGAAATTGCTAGAAATACAAATTGTGAAATGCTGAATCATAAATTTGGGGGTGGGGCCCAGAAATCTGTGTTTTAACAGGCCCTCCTGGGGATTCTAATACAGTCCAGAAGGCTGAGTTAACTTTTTGTGCTTAATTTTTGTCTTAGATCATACGGTCTCACAAGAAAACTTCTAATGGCTTCAACTTGTTTTTTTAAAAAAATTTTTTTAACCAAAGCACGTACAGCCCCACATGTTCTGGTCCCTTTCTACATCTCTGATCACATGTCATGGCATGTCCCCCCTTTTACCCCAATGCTCCTATCCCATTGGCCTTCTCTATTCCTTGATTATGCAAAACTCATGTCTACTTCAGTGCCTCACGTTGACTGTTCATTCTTCCTGCCATGCTCCTCCCAAATCCCCCAGTCTGCCTCGTTCTTATTGCTCACATTTCAACTGAAGTGGAAACCTTACAAAGAATCTCCCCTAGGCTTCCTATCAACTCGCCTGATCGCTTTCTATTAAGCAATTCTTTTATTTTGCTCATAACATTTATCACTACTTAGAACTATATTATTTATTATTCTACCTGATTACTGTTTATCTCTCCCAATAGAATTTAAGCTTCAGGATAACAGTGACCTTATCTGTCTCATTCATTACTCTATCACCAATGCCTAGACCAGTGCCTAACACATCCATATTTGTTGAAGGAGTGAAGATCCATGTTCTAGAGCTACCTCCACCTTGAACTTGCTGTGCGACCCGGAGTTAATAACCCTGCAGG